TTCAGTTCAGGTAAAATACACGTAATGTAAAATTTACCATTTTCACCATTTTTAAGTGAATAGTTCAGTAGCGATAAGTATATTCATTGTTATGCAACCAATCTCCAGAACTGTATAGTTTATTTTAAATGAAGTCCTGGAGCCGACCCCATGACAGGCACCTGGTTCATGACCTTCAGATGCGGTGGATAGAAGCTAGGGCAGGAGGCCAAGGGAGAAACAGCAGGAGCAGAGACCTTAGCCGTAGGCTTGATTGCCTCCCCTTTTATGTCCCATTTTACAGATGATGAAACCGAAGCACAGGTTGTCATTGCTTTTTTAGGTTAAATGTTATTGAAACGTAACACACATCCAGAAATGTGCAGTCTCCCTACCCTCCGCCTCATGCTCCCCAACCCCAGGGGTAGCTGCCCTCCTGACTTCTATTCCAATCCAGGTGTCTTGCCTGTCTCGGAGCATCACATAGGTGCAGTCATTCAGCATGTATGATTTTGTCTGGTGCCTTTTGCAGATAGGATGTTTGTGTGACTTTTCAGGGAACTTGCTGGAGACCTCAGCGCCGGTCGGAAGCAGAAGGGGGATGTAGAGTTGGGTCTGCCCCATCTGCTTTTAGTGGGCACATGGCAGTGCAAGTTGACTTGGGATGTGGGGGAATCCCAAGAAATAAAGTTGGATGGAAATGGCCAGATCTGGGGGTTCATGCATGTTCAGCAGAGGAATTAGACGTGGGTGTTCTAGGAGCCACTCCTGTTGAGCCAGCAAAATGACCCGCAGTGTTCTGAGTGACAGCGAGACATTGGGGAGGTGGGAGATGACTGGGGGAAGTACAGAGCCAGGGTCAGCCAAAGAAGTGAAGACTCACAGAGCGAGGATTCAGTCTTGGGTAGGTGGGGAGCATGAGGTGTACGTGGGAGCCGGGTGAGACTGGGGAAAAGCCCAGGTGTTCTGGATGGAACAATAGCAGTGATAACTGACGCGTGGCAGGGGCTTGCTCTGAGCTGGACCCTGTGCCCAGCACACTGTATATCTCATTGCATCCCTGCCACAACCCCCTGAGGTAGCTACTACCATTGTACCCATTTTTACATGGGAAAACTGAGGTTCCATGGGTGCAATGATTTGCCCTAGATTGGGTATCTAGAAGGAGGAGAGGTGGGCTTGGGCTGTCTCATTCTCAGAACTTCACCTGTAACCACCATGCTCCATGGCCCGCCCATGGAAACTATGGAGTAAAGACACCCATGAAACCAGGAGCCAGCGTTGGGGTCCCCTGCTGCCAGGAGCCTGAGTAGTATAAGCACAGAGAAAAGGCTGCCGTTTCTGACTACAAGGGGTTGTTGGAACAAAGTGGAAACACTGTTGAAACCGGTTTCCTCATCATTAGTGAATGTGCTGTGGGTTAGCTGGAACTTTTTCAGTGGATTTGCTTGAGGCCAGCATGTATCGCCATATTCTTACTTTGTAAGCTGAGTAAGTTGATATATGCAATTTAAGAAGAGCCTGGTTTTGGTAGTAAGTTGATTTGATTACGGTTTTATAAGATTTTGTTGGTCTGGTCTTGATCCTGTGGATTTCTCTTGGTTTCAGTAATTTTGGGGTGGTGATCTATCTGCTGCCATTGAAGCCAAGTCACAGTGACTTTCAGTGCACCCAAAAGAATGTGTTAGAATAGCCTCATTCCAGAAAAATAGAAAAAGGCATTAAGGTGGAAATAGCATGTGACATCTCCAACTAAGACTGTGTTACGATCTCAGGCAATGATATGATTATCTGATTTTATTTTTTTCACAGGCAAGTTGATTCCTTCTAAGGTCATTAATGTTATCTGTATCTAGTGGAAATTGTGTCCATTTTAAATTAAAATAAAAGTAATGGTGTCCATCTGTTTTTGAAAACCTTAATCTATTAAACCTGATGGAATCAGTCCGTTCACAAGTTTGTCATGGGTCAGAACAGCAGTATTTATATTCACACACACAGGAAATTCGATTAGATAACGCAGAGGAAGGGCACACACACGGATGGGACACGATTATCCTGAATGCAGCAGGCAGCCTGGATTCTCCAGGCCGTTTGAATGTCATATTAGCTGGGGATATCCCTTTTGTGACGCAGAATCTTGCAGAACAGTTGGGTGTAGCCGCCTGGGAGAGAGAAATGCTTGCAGCTGGGATTTTCCAAGCAGGCGTCTCGATTGCACAGAAAAATGTTTTGGGAATGTCTCCATAAGCCCAGCAGTCTGAGGATTTGTGCAGAATGGGGAAAGGCTTCTAACCAGGGTGGCCTTGGGGTTTGATAATGATGGGCTGGGGCAGCTGCAAAGTGCCTGGCTGTCCTAGGGGGCCTGACAAATGTTTGCGGGGCCCACAGTGATGGAGGAAAATGAGGGCCATTTTGGAAGCACAGGCTGCAAAATCAATGTTTTCAGCTGGGCATGAGAGGCACGTGCATGCTGAAACTCCTCTCCTGCTGAAGAATCCCGTAATGGTTCTGCATTGTTTTTAGGAATTGCTCATAATTCTTGACCTGGGTCTCAGGGCTAGGTACAGTTCCACATGGACCTGTCTCTTCTGCCTCTTCATGTCCCATCCGGCTGCAACCAGGGAGTCCCATTTCCTTTGCTCAGGCAGCCAACCTTCTGACTGCCTCAGAGTGCATGCTGTCCTTTTTGCAAAGACCCATCTCCTCTTCCATCTTCACTCCCTCCCTTCTAATTCCCTTCCAGTTCTCAGCTTCAGTGCCACCTCCACAGGGGACCTGTCTTGGTCTTCCCTGATGCCCTCCCTACCTGTGATAGATATGAATTCTGCTCATGGGCTTTATAGCATGAACACAATTCGCATGAAGTAATGATTTGTTTGTGGGTGGTTTTGTTTCTGTACGTGCTAGGTCACCAGCTTCTAGTTCCCAACTCTGTCCCCAGCTCTAAGTACCATGCCTAGTGTGTACTAGGGACCCACTAAATCATGGATGAATGAATGATGGAGACAAACGTTTGCAGTGAATGAGGCTGAATGTAGTTGTCTGATTTGCAGAATAACCTCAGCCATCTTGAAAGGTCCCTTTGAATGCTGCTTCTTGGTGAATTTGTCAGACATGCAGCATTTCCAGCTAAATGGAGAAACAAACCAAGGGCTAAAAGCAGTTGGTTGCTGTGGCAGCTCAGTGCGTACATTGACCTTGGTGTCTGGTCAGAACATGCAGGTTTGATGAATCCACCGACTGTTTTTAGTCCTGCCCATTGAAGATCTCAGGCCCACGAATGCCTTTGACCATGCCATTTGCTTGCTAACTCTGGCTGAGGCAGACAGCTGTTTCTTTGAAGCCCTTTAAATGTTTCTTATTTCCAGTGTTAATTTGATTTTTTTTTTTAAAGCTGCATGCTTGTCAGGCTCTGGGCTTACTTGTTTTATATGCTGAATTCTTCTGTTAAATCTTGTTGATCAAATAAAACTCAATTATATACTTAATATGTACATATATTCTTCTTGTGAAAAATGATGCCTTACAGAAAAGTGTCAAGTTCCCCTCCCTACACCTCCAGTCCTGCTCCTACCCGACATTCCATCCTTCCAGTCTTTTTTCTATATATTTATATTCACACAGATGGCTCCATAGAAGGTATATGTATATACTCGTATATGTATAAATAATTTTATATGGTAGTTTATTTATTTAAATATAAAAGGAACATTGTAGTACGTATCTTTTTGTAATTTACCTTTTCACTTAATAAGACTTTTTTGAGATGTGTCCATGTTAGTTCTGTAGAACCGTATCAATTGTGCTGTCATGACTCACACCTCTAACTTTAAATGGCTGAAACTTATTTAATAGATTGGCTAGGACGCTGACACCCTACTCCCTTGGCAAGTCATGCTGGCTGGTGCAGGGGCTGCTCCAGGAAACCCCTGCACTGTTCTTCCAGCGACTTGTGTGTTACCAAGAGCCAGCTGTGTCTGTTCCCAGGCCTGGTTAGGCTGGTTATTGGTGTCACTGTAATCACACAGTTTACTTGAAGATTACCTCAACTTTTGAAATGTGAGTGTGAAAAAATAACATGGTCCTTTTTATGAAAACTGAATGGAATGCTTAGGAAAGTCTCAGTAGAGTGCCACTAAAAAACAATAGCTGCTGTAAAAGGGTGGAGAAAGCTGTGACAGTCAGATGGCCTTGTGAAGGTCTTTAAAGAAATGGGAACCGCAGGTGTCAATTGCAGCTTGCTTGGGGTTTATGTGTGGAAGACGGAAGGAACTTTGGGGGTGGTGGGGGCCACTGTCAAGGAAAAGGCTTTGGCCCAGCCATGAAAGACGGAGAAGAGGTGCACGATTTACATATTTTCAGTAAAAATAATATGTCTATTTCATTTTGTGATAATGATTGACTTATTTTGGGTTCATCACCCAATCACTGGCAGCTGTGGACCTGGCTCATTCTGTTGTTACTACCTCAAATTCCATAAAACGGTCCTTCCTCCAACCCCAACCCCGCCGATGGATGTGAAGGTCATTTCTTGCTTTTCACTCTTTTTTTAAAAAGATTTTTATTGGGGAATTGGGAGGAGGGAAACAGCATTGGGGAATCGGGGAAGGGGGACAGACAGGTAGACAAATTGCTGTTTTTGTTCTTCAGTCTAGTTGTGGAGGACGTCGCTTCACAGACCCATGTTGATATGATCATTGTGCTCTTCCCAGGTGAGGCAATCGGTCGCCAGTCATTGGTCGGCCGCTCCCAGCGGCTCCCAGCAGCTCACACCAGCTGCCGGCCGCTCACGCTGGCTGCCAGCCACTCACATAGCTCACGGCAGCCCACTGCAGCCCCGCTGCAGCCTACACCATCGCCAGCGACTCAGCAGCCCAGCTCCAGGTTGAGCTGTTGTTCACCATCTTAGCTGTAGAGGGCAGTGTCACTGGCCCTCAATGTGGGATCCGAACCGCAGCCCTGCTGCTCAGAGCTGGCACTCCCAAGCGAGCTCTTAACCAGCTGAGCCACTCGGCCGGCCCTTGCTTTTCACTCTTAAACACAGCACAGGAGCAAACAGAATCTCTTACTGAGATTCCTGTGCACAAATCAGTTGTGAGTAGATGCTGAGATGCAGAATTGCTGGTGTGGGCATTCTTCATTTAAACGAGGCTGGCACTAGCTGATTTTGAAGTTGAAGACTTCCATGCTGGGAGCCCCAAGGAGGCAGGAGTAGTCTTTCACCTGTGAATGAGGGTTCCAAATGGGGGGAAGATGTTCAGTGCACAGATATTCACTCGGTGCTGAGGCCTATTTGTTCAGCAAGCATTTCTCGAGCCCCATTTGTGTGCCGGCGACTCTGTAGGCACTGGGGGTGGGAGAGTCTCAGTACAGGGTGCCTGGTCTTGAGAAGCAGGAAAAATTATTCTGTATTTGGGAGAGCAGACTGCACGAATGTGGTTTTCTAGGCCTTAGTCTGAGGGTCATATTCTCCATCTGTCTTAGTCTGCTTGGGCTGCCATAACAAAATACCATAGACTGGGTAGCTTAAACAGAAGACATTTATTTTTCACGATTCTGGAGGCTGGACGTCTGAGATCAGGGTCCCAGCACGGTTGATTCCTGGTAAGGGCCCTTTTCCTGGCTTGTAGATAGCTGCCTTCTCTCTGTGCTCTCACGTGGCCAAGAGAGTAAGCTTTGGTCTCCTCCCCCTCTTATAAGGGCACTGATCCTATCATGGGGGCCCATCCTCATGCACTCATCTAAACCTAACCTCTCAAAGGCCTCGCTTCCCAGTACCATCACTTTGGGGGTTTGGGCTTCAACCTAGAAATTCGGGACACACACACACATTCATCCCAGCATGGAAGAACAGAGAAGGAACATTTTACAATAGGGCAGAATGTATAGGTTGACTTGTGACTTGGCTCTTTGGTACTGGTGGTATGAATTTTCTATCCTAGGTTTAGTGAAATAAATGGTAACTTCAGGGACCCATTCCAAAGACTGTTTGTCTCACCCCTGCTGACTTGGAATCTGTGAGGTGGGAAGGGCGCAGGTCTGGCATTATGGACCGTATGTCACTCCTGGTTCTGCCGATTGCTTGCTGTGTAGGCCCTGGAGAAGTTGCTTCACCTCTCTGGGCCTCACTGTCCCCATCTGATTGGCGTGCTGGGTCAGGCTTGGGGAGCCTGCAGACAGTATGGTCCTGAGATGGCACAGAGATGGTCAAGCTTCGTGGCCACCTTTGCCCTGAGCAGAATGGTGCCCTGCCCCATCAGAGCCTCGGCCATACGGCAGCCAGAGATCCCTCTTTGTTGGCCCCATGAGAACATTTGGAGACAATCATATGCGCCCCCACCGATGGCTTCTTGTTGCTAAGACACTGTGTTGCCCAGCCATCCTCATGTCAATGTTTAGGGCTGCTCAGGACTTGGCCGCAGCCCTTCTGGGCCCTGCTCAGTATGTGTGTGGCCCTGGCTTGTCCTCGCAGAGTGATAGGACTGAATGTGCCAGGAGGGAGTCAGGGCTGTGGGGCAAGAGTGGGACCCTTGGAGCTAGACGGCCTGGGCTCAGATTCTGGCTAATGCCCTGTGAAAGTCACTGCCTCCCTCTGTGCCTCAGTTTCTCCATTTAGAGTTAGTGTGAGGGTAAAACGAGCTGCTATAATTTTATAACAGTGCCTGGCTTCTATATCAGGCATAACAAAGATGGAGTTTAATTCTCTAGGACAAAGAGAAATCCTTATTTGGCTCAGGCAGCCTCTCCTTCAAGGAAATAACTAAGTTCGAATTCATTGTTTAAACACTGACTCCCTCCCATCTAGCTGTGACCCCTGAAGTTCCTTCCGTTTCAATTTCTACTTTCTCTCTAAGGAAAAGGGTTTACTGAGCTAATTGCTGGTATGAACCATATCGCTGGGGGAAAGGTTTATCCTACTTAGAATGCAACTATTTTAAGGAACTTTAGCACATTTTTATTTGCATCCACCTGCCACAAGACAGCTTCGTTGTGAAAGAGCCTCCTCGGGGTAACCATTCTCCTTAGAAAACAGCCTATCAGCTCAGGAGAGGGAGGAAGGACAGAGCGAGTACGGACGGTTGCTGTGGGAAGTTGCCCCATACCCCGATTTTTCCGTCCTTCATGGGGTTCCTAGGTCACTTCCACCTCCGGCACTGTGGCTCTGGGTTTCTGAAGACAGACCCACACTTGCCTTTTAAATGAGGGTGATGGAGAAGGGAGAGAAAGTTGCATTTTAAAACGAGGCTCATCCTGGAAAGTTGGGAAATTCAACAATACTGGGTTTTTATCGCTAAGTCTCTGTGATGCCACGTGTGGTCGACTGGACCTGTGAAGGCGGTATTTTGAAAGAATTACCCGTAGAGCTGTCCCCTTGTCAGGGGCTGTGTGTGCGCGTGTGTGCACGCAGGAGACCTCTTGTTTGTAAATATATGCTCCTCCCAACAGCCTGGAACTGGCCTCCCAGGCCTCTAGGAGGCTATCAGAACACATCCCCTTTACTGTGTCGTGGAGCCTAGGGGCACACATTTCTGCTGTGGGTCCAGTGAAGGGACCCAGGGCTGTGTGTGTGTGTGTGTGTGTGTGTGTGTGTGTGTGTGTAGTATATTTGTGTGCATGTGTGTGTGTATGGTGTGTGTGTGTGTGTGCGCGCGCGTGTGCGCATGCGCGTGCAAGCTCCTTGTCTCCAGAGTTGAGTAACTTTATGAATGGTACTCAAAACCCTTCTGTCATCCACAGTACAAAGTTCAACTCCCTATTTTCCTGGCAGAGAAGGCCAGATTTGGCCCAAACTCAATCTTCTCATTTTTATCTCCTGCCAGTTTCTTACCAGGCACCCTGTTCCCCAGCCACAAACAACCCTTTGCCGTAGCCCAAAGATCCCATGATTTTGTGCCCTTTAGACCTTTGAAGATGCCAGGACCACAGCCAGGGATCCCCTTTCTTTCTCTTTCCCGGCCCAGCGCACACAGTGTGGAGCCTCCCAGGCCAGCCCAGGCCGAGTCCTCCCTCCACTGGGCCCTTGAGCCTTCCCATCCTCGTGAGACGCCTTCCCACGTGCACCACTGGGTTTGATTTAATGCATCCGTCATCCCGGCAGATGCCTTGCTACCTGAGAACACGTGCAGAGCCTGACCCATCACCAGCACCTAGCACAGTGCCTGGCAGAGGGTCCACCCCAGTGCTCAGCAGAACGAAGGAAGTTCAGGTTCATGGCATGATGCTTACGTTGTGTGGCCGAAGGAGGCCCTGGCAAAGGGCATCAGCATCACTAATAGTGTTCGTGTATTGGGTGCTACTCTGTGGTGGGCCCCATGCTTAGCACTTCACCTCGATGAATGCATTTCATCTACACCACCCCGTGAGGCGGGTGCTGGCTTTATCCTCCATTTACAGATGGAAGAGTGAGGCTCAGGGAGGGAAAGTGACTTGCTCTCGGTCACACAGGTTATATGCGGTGGGTCCTGGATGCCCATCATAAAGGAGGGCCCGTGACCACGCGACTGATGTGCTTCTGTTCTGGACACCAAACCCTCCTTGGCGTCGTTTCCATGTGATGATGGCTTTTGAGCTCTAGCCACCCAACTTTCTTGGGTATAGGAACCACCTTGCCTTCCCGCCCGCCCGTGTGTCTCAGGATCTTTGCACAGGATTTCCACGTGCAGTTGGATTGCAAGCCTGGGTCTCAGCTGAATGAGAGCACACATGGCCCCTGCATGCTTGTAAGAGAATTCCTAAATTTGCTTCAAGTGGTGCCACCCCCCTCACTGGAGGCCTACCTGCTGAACACAGGGAGAATCCACTGTGACCTACATTGAAAGGAAGTGGGACGGCTGGTGGGAGGAGAAACACAGACGAGGCTTGCCGCGAATGAGAGTGTTAGAGAACCCCACAGCCAACAGTCAGGGATGAAAGGCATTTGATTTATAATAGCATCTCACATTCATCCTCATTCTTAGGAGTTATAATTTTTCCTGAAGCCTCCTGGGGACCCTGCCGCCTGAGCAGGGAGTCAGGGAACAGCAGCCCCGAGGGAACGAGGAGCCCCAATCCTCTCCTCTGAGTCCAGAGCAAACAAGCATTAGGGGAGAGGAAAGGACGCTCGAGAAAGAATGTGTGGCTTGCTGGCCGCAGAGGCTCACCCTGTTGACACCAGGGGAGACAGAGCCCAGGATGTGGGGGACGGGTGGTCACTTCAGTGAGACGAAGGAATTGGGCTGGAAATGCATTCAGAAACCAGCTCAGGGGAGTGTTTCCTTTTCATCATAGTCTTCCTTGGGCTTGGTGGGGAAGGGAAAGAGGGTCTGAGCTGCAAACCATTTATTCATTCGTTCATGCATTCATTTAGTCAGTTAATATTTGTTGAGGGCCTATGTTCCCAAAACCAACTTTCACAAAACGTTGGGGGATATAGTGATGAGCAAAAACGAACTGCTTCCTGCCCTCAGGAAGCTCTCAGACTACTGGAGAAGATTGATATCAGACAGTTAAAAGGCTGGGTAATAAAGTAGGCAGATGAACATCATTCATTCATTCATTCAACCAGTGGGCACTGAGCATATCGCACTAGGAATTGCTGGAGACCTGGGCTGTCCAGTGTGGTAGCCACTAGCCACATGTAGCTATTCAAATTTAGTTAAACAAAGTTAAAAATTCAATTCTTCAACTGCACAAGCCCCATTTCAAGTGCTCCATAGCCACATGTGGGTAGTGGCTCCCGTACCAGTGCGGATATAGACCATTTCCATGGTTGTGGAAAGTTGGATGAACAGCACTGCTCTAGGCTATAAAGGCGACGTGCTCAGAAAGGCCCTCTGCCCTTAGAATGGACGGTCTCGCAGTATTGGGTAAAGACCAGCACATGTTCCATTACTATACAGGGTCATGCGTGCTGAGATGCGGGTGCACAGAGGCAGGGTAGCTGAGCCTGGCCTGCAGAGGCGGGGATGTTTTGGCAAAGTCTCAGTCACATGAAGAGGGTATGGGGCAAAGGGGAGGGGCACAGTGTTCCAGGAAGAAGGAGGAACATGTGTCAAGGCCTGGCCTCTAGAAAGGTTGGAGAGACAGAAGGTGTTTAGTGTGGCTGGTTGTAGACCTAGTGCGTGTTTATGTGGTTGTGAGTATGGGGTGTGTGTGCCGTGAGGGACCAGCTGGAGGTGGACAGAGACCACGCCATACAGGTTCTTGAATCCTCTGCCGCCTTTGGAGACAGACCCCTCCCTGGGTGTGCAGGTGGAGGGTCCCACCGCCAGGGACAGCCAGCTTGGAGGGGGGTCCAGTTTGCAGGGCCAGGGGAGGGAGGCATCTTGCTCATAGGGACAGGCTGCCCTCTCGGGCAAAAGCTGGGGGTGGCAGGTGGGGAACGGCAGAGGGAGAAGGAAGGGGAGGGAAGTATCTGCTCTGAACTGTCTCTAGGGTTCAGACACGGGCGTCTGTGCATTCAGCCCTCAAGAAGACCATTCAGGAAACACGGCCCCTTTTCCCCTTGTGGAACTGCGGAAGGAAGGCGAAGCAGAGAGCCTGGCTTGTGATTCTGGGGACGTGAGGGGGGATTTGGCATCTCCACGGGGCAGTGGGGCCCCAGGCCTGGGACCAGCTGGTGCTCCTCACCCCGTGCCCCCAGCTCCGAGTGTCATGGGAGAGAAGGAAGGCAGAAGAATTCAGGTGGAGTCAGGCAGCCCGTTCAGCTCTGTTCTTTCCCGTCACCTGCGCAGGTCACAGCCCCTGTGATCCCAGCTTCCTTCTCTGCAGTCTGATAACAATAATGTCGCACTCTAGGACTACTGGGACGATGCTGAGATAATAATGGCTGGCGTCTGATGTTTAGCAAGGGCTTACCTTGAGCCAGGCATTGCGTTCCATTCTTTACACCAGGATCTCGCACCCTCAGCACTGGGCTTGTGAAGCTGGATCATTCTCTGTGGTGGGGACCGTCCTGTGCATGGTAGGACGTTAGCAGCACCCTTGGCCTTGACCTGTCAAATCCAGTAGCACCCGCCCCCACTGTGACTACCAAAAATGTCTCCAGACATTGCCTAAAGCCCACAACTGAGAACCTCTGTTTAACACACATGGTCCCATTCTTTCTCATAACGACCCATTTGAGAGACGAGGAACCGCCTGCTATCAGAGCTAACAGTCAGCACTGGGATATGAACCCGGGTCTGTCTGTCTGGGCCTCGGCGCTCAGCCATGAACTCTGTTTTGCTGTTGGCTGAGCGCATAGTAGGTGATCACTGACCTTAATGATGATGGATCACTGGCTTATTCAGTTCCCAAACCAGACCCTCTGTTCTGGGATATAGGAATGAGCGGGGGGAGGGGGAGGTGTCAGGTCCCTGCTGGTCCAGCCCCCAGCTGGTCCCTGATTTCCTTGACCTGTAGTAGCCCCAGGGGACCAGCGTGAGGGTTTGAGGGAGCCATTTGTACTTCTTAGGCAATGATTAACCCAGCTGAGCTGGTAAATCATTTGATAGTCAGAACTTTACCCTGGAAAATGCCAGCCTTGCAAATGCGGGGCCATTTGTCTCACATCTGCTCTTTCTTCATCAAACTTTCATTACCCGCGAGGTCAGACGCAGTGCTGAGGGCCGTTGGGAAATTCTTCTCCAGTGGATGCCTCCCTCTTTTCCTTGCCAGCCCTAGTCTGCTATGTGTCCCCCGAGAAACTGTCCCACCTGAAGGACTTTCAGGGCTGGGCTTTGCTGTGTTTGTGTGTGCGCGTGTGTGTGTATTGGGGGTGTTGAAGAAGTGGCCCTGAGAGGCAGGCCTGAGGCCTCCTTGTTTATTTATTGTCTTTGGAAATGACCGTCAGTGATGAAATCGCCCCCAAAGGGCAGAGGTGGCAAGGACTGGCCTTTGCTAAAGCTAGGGTCTGGACCGACGGAGCCAGAGCAGGGCCCGTGTGCCAGCAGTCACAGGGTGCTGTCTGGCCCCATCGTGGGTGACTCCGTGTCCTCTTTCCACTCTGTGCTTAGAATCCATGTGTGTATATGTGAGTACATGTGTGTGCATGTATTAACATTCCCGTGTGCATACCTGTGTGCTCATGCACACGTGTGTACATTTACATATGTGCATGTGTGTACATTTCTGTGTGTGCCCATGCTAGTACTTGAATGTGTGCACACCTATGAATGTGTGCGCCTTGTACATGTGTGCCTGTGTTTGTGCATACATGTTGCATACATGTGTGTGATATGACCCCGCCCCGTGGTTGTAGGACTGAGATGATAACATACGCCAGGCACCTGCCACATGCTGTTGTGAACCCTTCTCCTACCCTTGTACTCACACACGGTGGATACAAACGGACATGGATTTGACACCTTTGTGTGACCTGAGGCTAGTCATGCAAACTCTCTGAGGCTGAGTGTTCACATCTTTGAGATGGGAGAATAAAAGAGCAACTTTGAGGAGTTTCGATGAGGATCATGAGTGATGGATGTGTATGGCTAGGGGCCTGGCTGGAGAGGGCAGTTAGTAATGACATGTCCTCCCAGCGTTGGGGAGATGTGGCCTTGCCGCTGGGGGTTTGGGAGGGCAGTAGGGACTTTAGTTGCCCCTCCTGCTCTCAGCTCTGAAACCTTGGCAGCATCGGGCAGGACCGTGTAGACAGGTCTCGTCCCACCATCCATGCTCTTGGTGTGGCCCAGTCACGTGGCCTGGGTGCCAGGAGAGGCCAGAACTCACTGGGGCTGTTTGTGCTTCCGTAGCTTGCCTCAGAAATTATTAGAAAGCTGAAGTCAGGGGCTCTGGAGACCTTGGCTTTGCCCACTGGTGACCACAACACTGTCATTCTTATGTGAAGCTGCTGCTCTTTTCCCTGGTGACAGCCCCCAAAGATCTCCATGTTTGCCTAGGAGAGGACAAAGAAAATTCCACCCCCATTTTTTACACCCCCGCCCCCCCAGCTCCATCAAATAAATCCAGAGAGTTCTTGGTAACCATGGACAAGCAAAAGCCAAGAAAAGGGGAGTATTTTCTCTGCCTCACCACTGTTTTCTGATTAGTCACTCCTAGCTAATTAGCAAGTGACAAATGGGACAATAAAGCTCTGAAAATATCCATCGATTTCCTAGAATCCCAGCCACAGACATGGCAGAGGGCCTGGCAGAGAAGCAGAGATAGAAGACTTTTGTGGGTCCCCAAGAAGGAAGCACAAAGGACCAAGTTGCGCTGGGCATACCGATAGGTGGCCACAGGTGGCTGTGGGTGTGAGCCTCAGAGACCCACGAGGGACACAAGTGGGAGGAGTCGGGGAGCTGCTCCGGCTTCCCTTTTCCCTCCATACTGTCAGGAAGAAGTGAGTTCACTTCACCGTCATTCGATGACTAAGGTAGACTTCCCGTGTCCGAGGTAGAAGTTGTCAGGGGACCCTGGGGACATTCCAGGCATCTGTGACCCTGGGGACATTCCAAGGCGACACCTGTTTCTAAAGATGCTGAGACCCCTCAAGTGGACAGGTCTGCCAGATGCATGTGGGTGGCAGTTGCTGCTGCTTCCGTAGATGGGCCCCTCGTCTGGATGGGTGAGGTTGTGCTGCTGTAACCAGTGACCCCAATCCCAGGGGCGTAGATGGTTTGCTCTTGCTCAGTAGTCTTGTCCGTGGAGGGTCAGCAGGGTCCGGCTCTGCACGGGCAGCATGCAGGGGCTGGGATGGCGGAGGCTCTCCCATCTGGTTGTGCTGTTACCTCCGCACAGAGCTTCAGGGTGTGTGGGGGCCGGGGGACTGGGGCTCAGCACTGGCAGGGCAGCCCCTCAGCCTCAGAAGTGACTCATGCCACTTCCTCTCACACTTGATGGGCCAGAACCAGTCATGTCACCGTGGCTTGGCCTCAGGGGGCCAGGACTCTCATCTTTTATGTACCAGGAAATAGGACGAAACCAGGACTCAGTGCCATTAGTAATGTCTGCCATATCACGAACATGGGTTCCGCGGGGCTGACAATGGCTGGCTGGAGGTACAGAGAGTGTCCTGCAGGGGTGTTTTCATTTCTTATGGCTACAGTGACAAATTCCCACAAAATTAGTAGCTTAAAAGCACACAGATTTTATCAACTCATAGTTCTGGAGGCCAGAAGTCCAAAATGGGTCCCCCGAGGCTAAAATCAAGGTGTCAGCAGGGCCATGTTTCCTCTGGAGGCTCTGGGAGAATCTGTTTTCTTGCCTTTTCCAGCATCTAGAGGCTGCCTGCATTCCTCAGCTTGTGGTGGCATCATTCTGACCTCTGCATTTGTTGTCACATTTTGTCCTCCACCTCTGACCCTTCTGCCTCCCTCTTATAAGGACCTTGTGATGACTTGGGGCCACCTGGATGACCCAGGTTCATCTCCCCACCCCAGGGTCCTTAACTTAATCCCACCTGCAGAGACTCTGTGGCCAGGTATGGTCACATATGTACAGGTCCCAGTGATTAGGGCGAGGACACCTTTAGGGCCTGCAATGGGCCAGCCCTCGTGTAAGAAACCACGTGACCTCCCTCTGCCTCCCCTTCCTTCTTCCTCCGTTGCTCTTGCTTTCCTGCTAGACGTTGTGCTGGGGTTTGGGCATGATGAAATCTCTGCCCTCCGCTCCATTCCTGAGTGGAGACCGATGTTCAACAGGAGTTTTGTGGGCACCTTTTATCAGGCGGCCTAGCTCCTCTGGGGAGACAAGAGTGGCGTGTCAGCCGTGATCTGAGGATAGGAGGTGTTAGGAGAGCGAGCTAGGGCATAAGTTATAAAGATGGGTTGCTCAGCCACTTGGTCCCAGCACCCGGGGCCTGAGCTCCCTCTACTTCTAAAAGTCACTCCTCATTTTTGTCTGTCCTGATTGCACCTACTCTGTTACCAGACCCCTCCGCCTGCTGCTTTTCTGGAAGGGGACAGCTTCCTCCTTGTCCTGGTCTCTGGCCCTGGAGCGAGCCATGCCTCCAAGGAAGCTGGCTGGACTTGGCTGCGGGGATGTGGGAAACAGGACCCAGGGCCATATTTGCAAAAGCAACAAAGTTGAAAGCGGGGCCCGGCAGGCTGGGTTCAGCTGTTTGCTCTGGGGGAAGCGCCAGCCTCAGAGATGCCTCCTTCTTCCTCGGGCCAGAAAGGGGGATTGTCTCAGACTCCTCTGATGAAGAACATATATTCTAAACAAACCCTGCTGCCGGTCCTGGTGCCAGCCTCAAACAGGGGAGGCGACTGTGACATGCCGTGGCCACCCCCCCCACGGCAGTGGGTGAGGTTGCTCAGGCCAGGGGGAGAGCGAGACCTCTAAGTACAGCCTAGAGATAAAAGCTGGGCGCACTCTGCTGGCTTCAAACACACCTTTCCTCTCAGCCCTGGAGATGCCATTTGTGCTTTCCCTTTCCTGCGCCCTCGTCCCCTTGCCAAAAGCTATAGGCAGCATAGCCAAGATTCCTCTTTGGGGTGGAAAAATCAAAGAACGAGGCATGAGCTTCTAATTAGCAAAGAGAGACAAATCGCTGGCAGAGGGACCACCCTCGGCTTCGTGTGCTGCAGCCTCCCGAGGTCCCCTTTATATCTCGGGCCCACATTCCTCAGTGTTCAATACCCTCCTGGGCGCCAGAGCCACTGAGCAAGTGTTTCCAGTGGGCTGTGGACAGAAAGGTAACTTTCCACGTCAGAATCAAATCCTTGCCAGGGAGGCAGAGAGTGCCCTGCCGGCCGGTGTGACGTGGCCTCCTGTACCTTCCACTCAAGGCACTAGAGCAACCATATTCATTAATTATTAAGTTAATTGTTTGTCTTCCTTGCTAAGTGCAGTGAGGGCAGAGACCCTAGTACACAACTGGTGCCCCATAAGTGTATTTGATGGAACCTAACTTTCCTATAAGCATTAAGGTTTACCTCTGAATTAACAATTGCCAGGTATGTAGATTAACATTCAGAGAAAATCTCTTCAAAAGGCATTTCTACCTTTTATTCTGTACCTGGGCTCATTTAATGCAAGGGGAAGCTAGGGAGCAGGGAGAATCAGAGAAACTTCCTGCATCAGGGGATATGCAGTAGATAAGTGATGATAACCGTGGCATCTGCTCTGGCACACCCCACAGCTGTTGTCAGGGCAGACATCAGTAATCAATCACCAGTCTTTCCAGTTGAGCCCAGATACAGCTGCAGAATCCTTCACAACACACTTCCAGGCACTTGAGATGTTTGCAAAATCCCAAATCGGCAGGTATCTCCATCTCATATAATTCATCTCCTACTTTATCTCCAGATAGCTCACTCTCTGACTCAGGATAGTCCCTGCACTTTCTCATTTTCTTCAGTCACCAGCGTCAACAAGTATCTTGCTTCCTCTGGCTACTTCACTGGCCATGTGACCTTGGTCAGGCCACTTTATTCTTCTCCAGGCCTTAGCTCCTTGTCTGTAGAATGGAGGTAACTGGTAACATCTATCAAGACTCCGTGA